AACTTTTAAAATTTTGTTAGGTTTTCTTGAAACACATGCCAAAAGATACACTTTTCCATAGCCTCTTTATCAAAAACAGATGATTTTTTTTCTTTTTTTGATTAAGGATCAATCAGATTCAAATAGTTGCTGGACAGTAAACTGAAGAGAGAGAAACAGTTTATTTCAGTGGGAACTGTTTAGCAATATTATTAATTTCTGATCATTTCAGCTGGTCCATGTTATTCATATTTTGAAAATGGAGTACCATCTTCACATTTTATAGGTAGATGTAGTGAGCAGATGCACAGTCTTAATGTTTTGCTGTAGACCTGGCTGTGCTACCACAGGTTCAACAGCATAGTTCTACTTTAGGACTGAGCAAAGAATAAACTACAGCAAAGGTCTAAGTGAATATCCAGAAGTTATTTGAAATACAAAGACTGATGATGAAACTCACAAGTTACTAGTTAAGATGGCTAATTCTTGACAGCTTCCCTCAAAGTCCTTCTTTTAAATAATTCCTGGTCATTACAATGAAAAATAACAAACTGCTGTACTAGAATTTCTATCTGAAGTGTCCGCATACGAAGTGGTATAGGATCTTCCTTTATATTTTACTGGCTACAGTCATTATATAATTGGTTTTGCTTTTTGCTATATCTAAATCATTACCTGTAAGTTTAGTAAAATCTGCTAGCTTATTGATTTTATGATATTTGGGTCATAATGTATATAGCTTCAGATTACTCTAAGCAGTTGTCACAAACTGAAGAGAAAGGGGAAAATGATGACAGTGTAATTGTGTACCGCAGCTGCTTGTGCTCCCCATGTGACTAAACAGATGCATATGAAGACCGTAAGTAATCATTAATTGCTTTCCTCGCTAAGCAGAAATTTTTTTTGGATAATAGACTTGCATTTCAGGGCTTTGCCATATAGAAGTGTTTAATGAGTTACATTTCAGACCACAGTGAACTGAAAAGACTATGTATAGAATTTCAAATGATGTGAAAACTTGTTATTGATAGCCACTGTTGTACTTAAATGGCACTTGGAATATTTTAGCACTTAGAGGATATGAATATACAGAATATGCAGCAAACCTGAAAATAAATTCTGAGGTGGAACCCAAGTAAGTTTTTTCCAATAAAGATTATGATCATTGTATGAATATTGGGTCAAATTTGGCTATATGGATATTAATTCATATCAGTGCATAGCAGCTTCACTAACTTTAGTGAGAGATTGAATGTTAGTCGGTGTGAACCTAGCTTCAGATGTAAACTAGCACAACACATTTATGAAGTTCCTGTTCCTTTTTTTGTTCTCAGCAAGTGTGCATAGGTTTCTGTAACAATTAGAGAGGGTTGTTAATTTGTATCAAATTTGCCTGAAAGACAGAGAAAAAGGTGATGGTTTGTGGATTTCTGAAACAGACTTTTGGTTTGGTTTTGTTTTTTTCTAAGTGCTTGACAACTGGAATTTTGCACCTATCAGAAAACCTGTTGTTTATGGCCAGGGTGATAGATAGGCAGTTAATAGGTTGTCCATCTACAGCATGTGGGTGGTTTTTTTTTTTTTTTAAATCTACAGTGAATAAAACCTTGAGGCCTTTTTTTCCCCCTCCCTTTTTGGCTCACTTAAACCTGTTGTTCTCTCTTTATTGTTCACAGTTGGTCATCAATGCTGCATTGGGATTTGACACATTTGTTGTTATGAGACATGGACTAAAGAAACCAAAACAGCAAGAGTCTGGTGATTCATGTTTCAACAATGCCTCTGGTTCTTCTGATCTTTTGGGATCATCACTCTTTTCAAATATCCCTGGCTATAAACTGGGTTGCTACTTCTGCAATGATGTTGTGGCACCAGGGGATGTGAGTAGAACCTTATGCAAATAGTGATTATATATCTCTGTTGCTGTGGCTTGAATTTTTATTTCCTTTAAATGGTGTTTCATAAAGGGATGTGTTTTATGTTGATGTACACAGGAATAAGAAATAGCTCATCTTTTATTCAGAAGATCACATAAATTAATTGCACATAACTAAAGATGTTTGGTGTGGTAGGGCAGCTAGTTACTTTCGAGTTACTTTTTTCTTTCCTTTAGAATTGTCTATCTTTGTAGTCCACCAGGGATCGAACATTGGATCAGCAGTGCACAGTCAGTCGACCTGGATTAGCCATGATAGCTGGAGCTCTTGCAGTGGAACTAATGGTTTCTGTTTTACAGCATCCAGAAGGGTGAGTAATTTCTGACACAAGGATTGGTGTTCAAAAAGTGTTCTCTGAGAATTAAGATTTACTTAATAATCTTATGGGAGAAGGAGGAGAAAGTACACATTAAATAGGACAATTTTGTAAGGTGTAATGTTGCCTGTAAATTAATGTAATGTATAGGTCATAGCTACTATATTAATGTAATTTAAAAGTGTTTGAGAGGACTGATTCATCAAATCTTAACTTTTTATCTTGGAAATTGGGAGTTTTCTCTCTTTCTGAGTTTAAAAGTAGAAAAGTACTCAGAATATTTCAAAAGAAGAAAATATTCCTGTTCGTGGATCTTGGCGTTCCTTTGTTCAGGAGAGTGTAATGATGAGCTATTGTACTTTTGTCACATGAAGGGCTTCAAGATAAGCCAAATATTGCAAAATCTTAATTAAAATTAAGTGGATTCAATATAGAAGTTACTCTAAAGTTCTGTAGCGTGAAATTTAGGCTTGTTTTCTGTCTTTAAAATCTATGAAAGAAAAAAGTGAGTTAGGTGTTGGACATGAGTATGTTACAAGTCTCTCAGCCTGATTCTGAAAAAGGGGTTTTTGTATTCCCATGCAGAATCTTAGTTACTATGAAACAGATTTTCCAGATAGGTTCCTTTCCAGATTCTAAACTGTAAGCTGTAACAAAATGTCTTGAAGATTACTGGAAATTTTGACTGTTTACTATGTTGTCTTGTTCTAATTTTCCTTCTTGGATTTTTGGCAGTGGTTATGCTGTGGCCAGCAGTAGTGATGACAGAATGAATGAACCACCTACTTCTCTTGGACTTGTTCCTCATCAGGTAAATAATTTGTGAGTAAATGCTTTTCTTTAAAAGCTGGGAACTGATTTAAGGCAAGCATCGCAGGCCTTACCTCCCTAACAAAAACATACTCTATACTGATTCCGTTCCCTGAAGGACTGACTGTCTATGTTTGTTTAAAAAGAAGTATTAAAAAAACCAATAATTTATCACACAAGCCAAGGTTGTCGTGTTCCTGGCATTGTGTCTGTCCTATTTGTGGACACACAATTCCTGCTACCTCCTTAGCAGGAATTTATTTGGAGTGGACAGTATGTGAATAAGGCAACCTCTGACTTTTCTGTTCCTTATCAGAGCTGACAATATGAGCACTTCAAAGTTAGTTTTGTTCACTTTTTAAATGCCTTCTGAGTTTGAAAAAAAAAATTCACATCCAGCCAACTCACAATTATTACAGTTCTCCAAAATATTCATGTATTTCTAGTGCAATACAGCAGTCTCTATTCTTCTACTGAACCCTAACTCTAGTTACAAATGTGTTAAGGATACAATTTTTCAGGTTGCTGGATAGACTTGTCTTTACTTGCTCTATCGATACAGTCCTTCAAAAAAACAACCTGCTGATCTTATCCCCATAATCATAGGATCATTTAGGTTGGAAAAGACCTTTAAGATCATCAAGTCCAACCGTAAACCTAGCACTGTCAAGTCCACTACAAAACCACATCTACACATTTTTTTCAATACCTCCACTTCCCTACTAGTGTATTTTCTTTGCAACATCCAGGTAAGGACAGGGTCTGGTCTATATAAACTGAATTTTGTTTATAATTTTATGTAGTAACTAGTGTTTACACATGGGTCTCTATGTGATGGAGTCCCCTTGGCTTCTCTCTCTGCAGTAATTCTGGAGTCTCTGCACTTCTCTCTCAGGGGTCTCTCTCCTCTGAAGCATTTCTGCTTGTTAGTGTGGTCACTATCAGCTGCAGGATTGGCAGGGAATACCCAATTCTTGATTGCCTTGTTCAGATACCCTCAGTACATGGCTTTTGTCCTCGCTGTCACTCATTGTCTGCTCCTCTCTAGAAGGTTCTCAACAGTTTCCAACTTTGGCACTAATTGCTAAGTTTGTAACTCTCACAATGACTGACAGGTTGGTTACAGCCAGGGTACTTCAGTATAACTATGTTACTCCCTTATCCTGTAGGGCTATCTGTAATTACAATGCTAATGCTGTTGGCAGCCAGGCCCAACCTAGGCCAACTGCTGCAGTATATCTGAGGGAGATTTTTTTCACCTCTAAAACCCCAATAGGAAGAAAAAGTCAAACCTAAATCTTAATCATTTGATGATCCAGGTACTCCCTTCTGATTTATCTGAATGTTTCCTGTGATCATGTGGGGCGATAATATGAAAGAGATTTTACTTATGCTAGGTCAGTTTGTTTTTAAAAATAACTGCAGTAGTTTTGACAGTTGAATCTTTGTAAGCCTTATACATATACAGTGACTTTGTTTTAAAATGGTGACTATGCTCCAGACCTCTGGAAAACAGATTTGTAACTTGAACTTTCTCTTAACATCTAAAAAGGGATAGTCATGAAGTGATTTTTTTTTTCCCCAACAAAAAGCTAGAAATATTATGTTATGTAGTAATATATATATATTTTAGAATATTTCCCAGTAAACTTTAGAAAGTTCACTGTTTCAGCATGTTTCCTGATGATGAGAATGTTAAATGTCCAGTCAGTCCTGTCCAATTTGTTTTATATCCCTATATGATTTTACTTGCATTATTGTTTTGGGCTATGCTTTGAAATATGACCCATACCAAATACGGATTTTAATTGAAAGACATTTCATTGAATTATGACTTCTGTCAACCCTGTATCTGTTTTCACATTTACATTTAGTGACTATCATTAATATCTTCTATTTTAGACATTCTAGGACAAAATAACGTTAGTAAGTATAAAACGAAAACAGACATTTTTTCTCAAATATTTTAAGATACAATCCTTTTACAAACTGCTGGTTTCTCTTAGTAGTCACCCATCTAATCAGCTCAGTGAGTGCAATATTTTCTCCAGGGGTCTAGAATTAACGGTTGCTTTGGTGTGGGTTTTTTTGTGTTGTTCTTTGTTAAATTGGAATGCAGCAGTCCTCTTTATGAAGAAGGTATTCCTTTGTAGATGGTAAGTGTTGCACGTTTATAGTCTTAGTCTGTCATATATGAACTGAATTTATTTCCAGGAAGTGTTGTGGCGTTCCTAGGATAACCAAAATACATAGCAACGTGGTATCAGAAGGACTTGATTCTGTTGTTTTCCTTTCTTTTCCTGGGTGTGGGTTTTGATCAAAAATTACTGTATTTTAGTATTCTAACATTATGTATGGCTTGGCCTTTCTGCAAAAATACCTTAGATTTAATGCTGTTTAAATTGCTAGTGGCTTCCGAGGTTTATGCCATTTCAACTGCATTAAGTGTGTGGAGTGCATATTGGAAATATTTTCCGTAATAGACTTCAATATTAATTAAGGCATTATTATTTGTATTGCAGAGCTACTTAAGTTCTGTTTTTAGTGACGTTTCTTCATTGTAGTAGACCTGTAAAAGCACAGAATAAAAAAGATGATCAATACTCCGTAGTATGAATGATGAAACCCTGCTCCAAAGTGCTTTCAGTGCTACCTTTGTTACCAGAAACAATGGTCTGGAATTTTAAAATTATGTATCAGTAGTATCACATTAACAACATAGTTTAGGATTGCATGACAGTTAAGTTTTCAGATTGTATGTTATAGAGATGGGGGGGGTGGGGAATGGACTTTTTATTTTTGATTGAACTTTGCAATCAGAAAAGTCAAACTCCAGGTGGTGCTGTGCCTCTATTTATGTTTAAATAGTGTTGCCTTTAGATAGTTGTGCCATCATTTGTATACAGAAAAACAGCAATATATGTTTATTACAGGTGTTGTTGGGGGGGTCATTGTGTTAGAACAGTATTACCCTGGTTATAGCTGTTCTTTATCTTTTTATTGAATGTATGTGTCTAGTTCATGTGGAATTTTGGAAATGGTTTTTGTAATTGTAAAATAGTATTGTAACTTTTTCCTCATCTTCCAGATCCGTGGATTTTTATCAAGATTTGATAATGTTCTTCCAGTCAGCCTGGCGTTTGACAAGTGCACAGCCTGTTCAACCAAAGTAAGGCTGAGTTTCTCTGTACTTTATTTATATGTATGGAATAGTCTTGCTCTAGGTCAGTCTTGGGGTGCCGAGGACTGTTTTCTATTTGACATTTTCTCTTACTTCCCAGGGCTTGGAGTCTGTGTTCTCACTTCAGCTAAAGTTCTTTTTCCCTCATGCCCTTCTTCTTTAGCTGTTTTCCAAATTTCTTTGGCGTCACCTATTAGCATGCTATCTCCACATAAACATTCTAGTTAGCTAAAGAAACGAAGCAGAGATTAGGGCCAACACATTTCTGAAAAGTTTATCACATAAACACTGTCAATATCTTTTAGTTTTGTAGGAAGGAGTAAAATTTTAGTTAAGAAATAATTTCTGATGTCTGATGAATAAATATATCTCTTTAGCTTTCTTGAACTTAGTATGGTTACAAATATGCAAAGTTGTCTAAATTTTGTTTTATGATACAAACCAAACATATAAAGAATGCTTACGAAAAAGAATGATTTCCATAACATTTCTTTATTGAAAAGACTGTTTGATTTTGAAGCTAGTGTTGACAGTCCTGAGTCACTTAATAGATGTACAGCTGTTGCTTGGATGTGAGCTGTGTCTTGCCAGAACACTAGGGCAGCCCACTACCGTGTCTGTGTGAGGCCTCCTCTTCAGTCTTGGATTCTTTTCCTGTACTGTGGCCTTGAAAAGTTTTTTCTGGCAAGTTTTCTATGGCCATGTAGTGCAAGTTCAAGTAGTTTTGACTGGGGTATCTTGATATGAAGATTCAGACATTTTTGACTCAAGATTTGGACTGTTTGGGAGTGCCATTAATTTAGTGCACTTTTACGTACCTTGAGAATTACTGCAAGAAGTCCTTTCCATTCTTTTCACTGCGCTTGTCCTTCTTCTTTCAAACAGCTGTCAAAAACTCTTGAGGCACTATCATTTTTGTGAGGACTTGTACCATTTCTTCGTCTACAGTATTCCTTTTATTTTTCTAGGCTATCTGGGTACATTTGACAAGTTTTGAAGGACTATTATGTCCATTTTCTCCTCAAAAGTTGAAGCACTAAACTTAAAATTGCTGTTATTTTTAGAAACATGTATCTACCCTCTTGAATAGCTGAAAGCTCAGCAGTAGCTTAAACTTTATGATGCTGGAGCCTGAGAAATTAAACTGTTAGAATAAGCTTTTTTCTCATTTTTTCTTTTTTTTTTTCTTTTTATCTCTGATCCAGGACATATCAATATATAAAAACATACATTGATGTAGATAAATTAAATGCAGGTATCAATTTTTTGTTAGCAAATCATTTCCTCTTGGAGGTCATTTTAAGAGAGCCCTGTTTTACATAAACAGACTTGATGATTTAATAAAAACTGACTTGGATTTTAGCAGCTGTGCTATTCCCAGAGAGATCACTTTTCATGTGGTTTGGGTATTAAATTACTTCTGTGCTGAAAAAGGTTGCTTCACTGGCGCACATATTTCCTTACAGTAGAAACACAGCATTTGTTTACTTTGCTAACTTTCTATTTATTAGCATAAGAGTATGTCACCCTGTATTATCTGGAAATCTGATGCTAATACTTTGAAATGACAAATCCAATTAGAATTTAATTGTAGTCTGTATGTTGGTTTGTTTTTTTTAATGCAGCAATTTAGCATAATTTCATCCTGATCTATGTCAGTTTACTGTAGATTGAAACTTTTAGCATGGGAGAGAAGTGGCTTTTCTGATATAATTGAATTTACTAGTACCTTATTCATTTTCTTCTTTCTTATGTCAGCATTCTTTTTCTTGAGCTCTTGTCACACTCTAACTCTTAAAACATAAAACTAATGAATTCAGAATTTTAAAAAAAAAAATTCCAGTACATTCTTAAGCCATCCTGTACAGCTGAATGACTTGGGAGAAGCTGCTAATGATCTGCATGGTTAGAGATTAGATTCCATTTCATTTTGACTTGCAGTCATGACTTCATTTCTCTGTTTTTGAAGCCGAGGAGACCAGACATCCAAGCAGCCAGCTATTCCTTACCCAGAATTGTCCTAAACAGGCTGCATGCCAGAGAAGCTTCCCACAGGCAATTCTTCAGGAATTCTGGGATGGTCGCAGCAGGAAACCAATCTATTTTTATTCTGGGCCAAATTTTCCTTGTATGATTTCCCCCCTGTCTTATTCTGTTTCTGCACAAGCATGTGCTAGAATGGAAAGTATCCTCTTTCAGAGCTAGCGGCACGGCGCTGCCAGCTGAGTAGTAGGTCCGAGGAGCAGTGTAAGCTCTTCTGATGTACTTCCTCTTCCATGTCAAACTTGCTCTCTTACTGAGAAGGAAGAGTCCAAAACTCTTTATTTGTAATAACGGCTTTACTTACAGAATGAGAATGTTAAGCTTATTTACTGTGGTAATTAAGCTGTCTGTTTACCCTGTTGGGAGAAAAATAAGGATATTTTCTCAGAATATTTTCTCAGATCCTGTACTGCCCGATCCTTGCAGGCAACTGGCTAAAGCCTTGAATGATGAATGTTAAAATGTATATCTTTCTTCATGCAAAACTGCCAGTCTTTATATTTTAATGAGGGTAATGAAAATTTTCCTGTTATTGCTCCTCCCTCCTTCTTGTATATAATGGAATGAGCCAGGAAACCTCTTAGATTCAGAGTTTAATGTCAGAAAAGATTGTTGCTACTAACCAACTTGAATATACGGCTGCCCCCTCTGTTTTTACATATAGCTCATTGATCTTATTTCCTCCAGAGTTTGGATTTATCGTCCATGTGCTAGAAAACTAGCTCATTTTTCTTAAAGATATTTCTCTCCTTTGCCTACTAAAATTGTTCTGATGTGTAATTATCTCTGCTATCAAATTAAAAAAAAAAAGCAGCATAAGTATCTCTACTAATTTTCAAGTTCTTTCTCGACTTTCTATTCAGTATGCTGAAAAATTGAGCTGCTCAAGTCGTCATTTTTTATCCATTGAGTAATTTTAGTGACTTACCTTTAAATATTTTTCAATTTCATTGCATTTCATGAAGAAGTAGACACTAGGATCAGGGATGATATTCTAGACACTATGTTACAATTTCTGTTTTCAGTCAAGATATTTCCCTACCCTTCCAGATGTTTTCCCTTTTTAACATTGCAGGAATACATTAAACACTTTTGCTGTGACATTTACTAAGTGTCTGTGTTGCCTAAGTTATTTATGAGTGTTTCAGTTTGAAATCTATCATCATGTAGACATAACAATGCTTTTATTATTCTCATCTGCTAACTACTTTGCATGCAATTTTACTTTAAATGGTTCTGATCAGTTATGACAGTAACCTGCACTATTCAGTAACTTACTGAGTATTTTTTTCAGTTGAGGTAGTTTTAATTTTGATTCTAGCAATACCCATCATATTTGCCCTAGCTGCATTGAGAAAAGACTTTCATATTTGCTTTCTCCCAGTAGCAGCATATTGTACAATCTGTCAGCAAAAGGGGTGTTTTTACTCTTTCTAGTATACATTTCTCAATTCAAGTATTGCGTTGATGTTAAATAGAGATGTATAAGTCATGGAGGGAAAAAAGCCTTGGCCTTTCCTGTACTAAAAAAAGCTAAGTCTTGCGTAGCTTACAGAAATGATGGAGGAAATGGGGAGAAATGTTTGTCCTTCAGGAATGAACACTGCAAAAATTTAAAAGAATGTTTAAAAGAGTTATTTCTGTACCTGTGCTGTAACATTAAGTCCATGTAATTGAGTCCGTTTATAACTTTCCTTATTTCCTGAATTTACATATGTTGACATTTGACACTTCTGTGTGCAGTGTATTACGATTGGATAGATTTTATTCAGGCTGAAAGAATGCATCATTAATATACCTAGGCATATTTTCAACATACAAAGTTAAATGTAATACTTTTCTTACTCTTAAGGTAGCATAGAAACTTGCTTTATAATAAGCGACTTACAGAAATTTATTGCTTTTGGTTTTCCTCTTTGAAAAAAATGTCACTTTAAATTGGGGGGGGAGCAGGAGGCAGGATTAATTTGCCTATAACTTTTGAAATCTCAGGCACTCTTTACCTCTTTTGATATAAATTTTAAATTCAGTAAGAGAATTGAAATAATAACGTATTTTCAAAATTAGTCACAGGATGTTTTTACTGCTGGTTGCCCGAAAGATGCGCATTCTTGAAAATGATGCCTGGTTTTACTATTTCAAAAATACTGAATTTTTATTATACAGTCAACAAAATGTAAGGTAGATTATCCCAAGTAAAAGGATACTAACAGAATGAAGCTGTGATGTGTACTAAGAACGCCACATCACTAAGAAATGATGACCATGTTAATGTGACCATTATGATGGAAATTTGTTCCCTTAGAGGAAAGCAAATGTGATCAAGAACCCCAGAAATCTTAAAAGTAACATTAACTTTAAACATTACCCTATTTTGTGAACAGAGAAAAGGGTGTGGAATCAGTGGTGTATTCAGTTTTGTGCATTGGAGAAGGTGGGAGGTGTCTGTACAGACAGGATGGATGATAATTGGAAAATGGAACTTAACCCACACCACTGAAATCTAATGAGGTGAGAGCTTATTATCTCTGTCCTATATCTGACAAAAAATACATGATGATAATGAAGCTTGTGTAGTTTGGTGGAGAAGTTGTGTCTTGTTATTCCTTGCTTAGTCCATCATGATGACTGGAAACATCATGGCTAATCCTATGTGAAGGCAGTAGTGCCAAATTAACTGCCTTGCACATAACAGCTCTGCAATAAAGGTAGTAAACAGAAAGAACATGGGGAGAGATAGAACATGTTTATATTTGATCTTAAATTGTACCATTTACCAAAATGCAGAAAGCAAGTTGACATTCCCATGCATTAGCGCTGTTATGGCTAGGTTGTAAGAGTTAGAAAAGATGAATGTTTTGCACCAGTTATTCAGAGTTGTGGGATGCAGGTTTATTGACGTTTAATAGATAACATAGGATGTTGACACCAAACAGCCTCCCAAA